TAATGTTCTCTAGACTTGTCCATGTTGTATAGTATTTTACAAATCTGTTGCAGCTCAGTGCAGTGTAGTATTCCTCTGTGTGAATGTACCATAGTTTCTCTATCCATTTGTTTGTTGATATGTTTTTTTTTTCTTTTTAAGTTTTATGACAGTTAGAAAGTAAGAACGGCAGACAAGAATTTTCTATCTACGTACATCAGCAAGAAGCTGGAAAAAACTTATCAGATGTTCATCCTGGATGCCTTCCAATGATCAGTTACTACTGGCCAAGGAAAGAGGCAGAAGGTCATCATGCCTCTGACGCTTCATTCTATAGGCCTCCATTTCTTCTTCCACTGGTTCCTGGGTTTCATAAATGCTATTGTAAGGCCACTTCCTTTCATCGATTCGCATGATCTCCTTGACATGAAGAAGTTGGGCCTCTTCTACATTCAGTGCCTTTTTCAATTTTCCATGTTTTTCTTTACCACCACTATCTGAATTGCTCTTTCGATGCTTCTTCTTCTTCTTCATCTTTCCATTTTTCCTGATGCATCTCCATAAGCATTTGAGGTTTCTTCATGGACTCATCTATAGTTGCATCACTTGCATCGCATTGCTCTGAATTAGCAATCTCCATCCCAGCTTCTCCAGTACAATAAGAATACATCACAAAAGAATGACAACATTTGTGTTCCCATTGGCCTTCTTTCCAGTAAGAACCCCATTTATGCGTGTGATTGTTGATCTTCACATCCTCCTCATACTTGGATGCTCCTGTCATTTTATAACTGTCCCATGTCTTGAGTACTCCTCGTTGTCCTTAGTCTGAGCTAAAAGCATTTCAACTGGCAAAGCATCCAGATGTTCTTGACCACCAAACTTTTCCAGCATGCTTTCTTTCTGCTGTTCTTTGAAATCTTTTTTTAACTTTAAATGATTTATACAATAGCTTTTACTTTGTAGTATCTGCCTGAAGATGCACTTCAGACCTCTTATCATAGGCTTCCCAAGCAAATAGCTGTGTCTGAGCCATTCAGATGGTATCTCCTGTGTATCGAACGAAGTAATCTCCTGCATAACTACCTTCTTCTGGATTCTTTCCTGCATTCGCATAGGAATTCTCTCTCATTGCTCTAGTTTTGGGATCATAATAAGCAGAATTTGGATCTAAATTCAGCAAATATTTTGCAATATCTTCTTTGATCCTGAGATCTCACACAGTAATTCGGCTCTTAGAGTAAAAATTCTGTCCTGGCATGTCAATATCATCTGCATATTTATCTTCATCCTCATCTTCACTATTACGTTATTTTTCCATCTGAGAATTTGGTTCCTCCTCTCCCCACTGGTGTTTTGGGGAATTAGCCTGTTCGGCTAGTTTTCCTTAAGCTAATTTTTCTTCTAGTTTCTGGCATTCAGAGTTCATTTTGCCAGATCAACGTTGGCATGTTCCTCTACAATTGTCATGTGTTCTTCTGGACTGTAGCCATTCCACTGATCCCTTTTCCCATCAGAGTCAAAGGTCAGCTGAGAGTGGGTATGTTCGTCTGGAGCTATATTAGTACCTGTACATTTTGCTCCAACTTGCCTAGGTCTTTCAAATCAGTCTTTCTTTTTGTGTGTCATGGCCCCACAACTTTCACATGCACCTTTGCTATACTTAGTAGTTATGGAATTCTTTTTTACATTCTCCTTGTCATTCTCCAGATGAGCTATACTGCTTCTGTTTCTCTGGCTGGGGTCTTTTGTACTTTAATGTAGGTCTTTTTGATGGGTCAGTATACCACGGTACTGAGGAAATATACTGAGGAATGTGAAGATTGATATCTTTTCCTTCTGCATCTACTTCAGCAGGAGCATTACTTAGTTTCTGCTGTTCTTCTAGCTCTTTCTTCATTTTCCAGTCCTCTCTGGTCATCTTCTTTTGTTCCTCCAAACCCATTTCTTTGGATCCTGACAAAGAGGCCTTCACAGCTGAAGCTGGCATGGTTATTTGGTTTCCCCCAACAGAACTACAGGGAACCCCAAATCCAGGCCACAGGGAATACAAGACAATGTTTACTTCTGGGCTTTCCAGGATCTCCTGAATGTGTTGTTCTTGTTGTTAGCTACTGTGGAGTCTAGTTTGACCAATATTGACACTATGAACAAAAGATCTTAACGTTGTCCTATCCTGTGCCATCCTCACACTTTCTGAGATTAAATACCTTCTGCCATCTTTAGCCAACTCCATCTTCCAGGTGTTCAGCATGATCTGAAGATCTCTAACTCCTTGCCCCAAATTTTGCATTATTCACCTAAGATTCTAAGTTAAATACATTTTATGTTAGACTGGCATACTTAGTACTATGGGTCATTATAAAAAAAATGTTGTTGTTGTTTTTGTTATGTGCCGTCGAGACACTTGCGACTCATAGTGACCCTATGTACAACAGCCCTAAACCCTGCTCTATCCTGTGCCAATCACTGCCTCTGACACACCAATCCCAATTAACCTAGTTACTGAATCAATCCACCTCATAGAGGGTCTTCCCCTCCTGTGCTGTTCCTCCACCCTCCCAAGCATGATGTCCCTCTCCAAGGACTGGTCTCTCCTTACAACATGTCCAAAGAATGTCAGACGAAGCCCTAGAATCCTTTACTCCATGGAGCAGCCCGGTTTAACCCTCTTCAGGATAGATCTGTTTGTTTTCCTAGCAGTCCATGGTACACTTAATACTCTTCTCCAGCATCATAGCTCAAAGGCATCAATTCTTCTGTCCTCCCTAGTCATTGTCCAACTCTCTGATGCATAACAAGTGACTGCAAAGACCATGCCTGTATCAGATGCACCTTAGTCTCCAGAGTGACATCTTTGCTCTTCAGTACTTTGGAGAGGTCCTTAACGCAGACTTTCCCATCGCAATACCTCTTTTAATTTCCTGGTTGCTGTTGCCATGAGTGTTGACTGTGGAGCCAAGCAAACTAAAGCTGTGAACAATCTCAATCTCTTCACCATCCATCCTGATGCTGCCAA